GCAGCCGATGATGAAACTAATAATTTGGAAATGCGTTTAAAGTCCGGTTCCAGGATAGTTTGTGCACTACGTTATAAAACCACGAGGTGGACTCAAGAGTCTGTGATACGGCAGATACATGTAGGCCTATTTGTATGCTATATTAAAGCGGCCACAACCTGACGGTAACATGAAAAATTTGTGCCAACATTAGTAAATTTGTTCCTTAAGTCAACGCAAATATATTTTTGCACAGTTTTGGGACGCAAGTGTTATTAGCCTTCGACTCGACTCAAGTCGAGTCATCTGATGAGGGACTCGAGTCGAGTCGAGTCATTTGCTCTCAGTGACCCGAGTCGAGTCCAGTCAGATACTGTTGGGACTCGAGTCTAGTCGAGTCTTCAAAAATTCTCCAAATCCTCCTCGGGGACTTTGAGGGAGGGGGGGGGGGGGTTACAGTTCAATATGAGAGGTCCCTGTGACAAAAATTCTACTTAAATTTGTTTTGTTTCAAGCAGTTCTGGTTACCATGGCGGCATCTACACATATGTACACCACATGTTCAATTTGGTCAAGAATAACTTTCGGAGACTACCGGTATGTGTAACTTTAACAAAATTGTAGATCTTGCCAATAATTGTAGATGACCCAATAATTCATTACACTCTCCTTGTTGCCCATACATACATTTGTGTACAGTGTATCTATGTTCATAAAATTTAAAAGTATAATAAAAATTGGGACATGTGGCGTCATTGTCCAAATGCCAAGGCCAACTGTAGTCTTTCTCATGTGTCATGCCAAGTTACAGACATGATGATACCATAGAGCAAGGGTCCTTGCTCTATGATGATACTGGGTCACTCTATTAACAACACCCCATGTTGTTCGTGTTAATGATTGTCACCAGCAGTGTGCATTATGTATTGTACAGTACATGCATAGTACAACAAATGTATGATCATACAGCTAAAAATACCAGGGCTTGAATTGAACGACGGCCACGACGGCCAGTGCCGTCGTTGCCTTCTTACTGGCCGAGGTACCCCACAAAAAATCCCTGTCTTCACGGCCAGTTTTGCCTTGCCCCATAATTACCTTGGCCGCCGTGCCCTTTTTGCAAAAACATGCATCAGCCTATTAAAACCACTACAATCCTTGATTCCAGTTGTTTTTCCACAAATTGACAATGTATTTCGATGCCATGCCAGCCCAATCAGTTGTCTTAATATCTCGCTGAATCAATCACGCGCGCAGTACGGCCGTGGCCGGCCGGCCAAACGCCGGCGATTCCCCACACTGTACGATGTACATGTACACACCCTTACGTTCTGTATGTACACTGACAACTGAATCTCCAGTTCCTGTATGTGCCGATACTTCAAGTAGCGACATCCCCGCCGCAAAAATATATGTCAGTATTCGTACACACACATACCAGCAGGAGTACGTACGGCAGATCTTACGTGCAGTCAACCGACTTTCTTTTTCCCAGTGCTTGCGCTTGCATGCGCGGTACAGAACGCATTGATGTTCGTGTACGAGGCAAACGAGCTTGGGGCATAGTCAAAACACGCGTGCACATGGCGTTCCGAATTCCGATTGTCAAAAGCGGACATTGTAAATGGCGATCGTGTATTAATTATGGGCCCGATTCCCGTAAGAGAACAAAATCAACTTTTAATCCACTTTAAGAGCATGCAGGTAGGTTATAGATAGAGGGAAGGGTTTCGAATTTTGAGGGGAATTTGGAGGGAAAACGACAACGAAAACACGCAACACGAAAATAGAGATGGCGATCGCACGTCACCAACCATAAAACTGCTTTAAAAAACGTAATTTCTATCCCCAAAAAGTGTTCAAAATTACAAAACAGGTGCAATATAAGCTGAGAGAAGTCTGCTTTAGGTTAAAAAGGTACTTTTTGAATGATAAAAACACCTTTGGCTCAAATTTGATCGAAACTAAAGGGGGGCCCTAAACTACATGATCGCTAATATAAATGCGCATTTCTTTTAGCCGGCCGCTGTGCCCCTTCTGCAGATATTAGTTTGGCCTTGGTGCCCTCCCGACTGGCCGTGGTGCCCTCTATAATTTTGCTCCATTCAAGGCCAAAGTGGCCTTGCCCTAAAAATTCCCAAATTCAAGGCCTGAAATACAGAACAGGATAGGGGTCATTGCACTTGTGTGGAGAACTCACGGAGCTGAGTCCTGACACAGTAATAGAGGCACATGGATTCATTGAACCTTTCTCAGAATACAATGTATAGTACACACGTTTACCACAAAAACATGCAAAAAGTTTTTTTTTTTTTTTTTAGATGGTGGAAACATAAAAGTCCTGAGGGACCTTTTTGGTTTGGGTAAATTGGGGTACTTCACCCAAACCAAATAATGCCCTTTGCATTGTGTCCATCTCTCTAAAAGGCTGATTTCATAACTAGTCAGCAATTAAATACGTGTACGTACATGATGTGTATTATTTGTAAATTATGTACAAGTGAGGGGCAATTCTTTGGAATCCGATATTTCCTTTGCTTACAATTTAGGCACGTCATATCCACCAAACAAAACTTGTTCCAATCAAACAAAAAGGATTTTTTTTATTTCAAAGAGATCGTACAATGTACATGTGTGTATGTTCCAATCAAACAAATTTTTTTTAATTTAATTTCAAAGAGATCGTACAATGTACATATGTGTGTGTGTTGTCTTGAAAAGTTTAAAATCCTAACCCCCAGTTCTTCAGGACTACCCTGCTTAATCTAACAGCCCAACCGGGCTTTCCTGTTCACTCCACTGTGCCTCATTTTCAGTTGTCTGCTGAATCCTATGGAGTCCAACATGGCATTATAATGTGGTTCAGTTGCCTGCTGAATCCAATATTTTGCATGAGGAATGTACACAAGGGGTTTACTGCTCAATCCAACAGGCTCCATCGGGTACATGTATATGACATGGTTGGATCCTGTTGGATTCAGCAGGGTTAGGGTTTTAATCAAACTGCCACAGTATCATGAGAACAAAAATGAAGTATAAAACATGTACATTGCACATGTACATGTACATGTACCCACACTGACCCTTGTACAATTGTACATGTTCATCCTCCAGGCTAATAAACATGGACACATGCGTACAGGGGATCAGTAACATTTGCTCATCTCATTTCTATTGTAAGATGTTCATGTGATGCCCATCTGTTTCTGTTGCAATGGTATGGTAAATAGGATAGCAGGTAAATAAACATGATAAATTATGTGAAACTAGTCAAACGGAAATTGATCGTTTTGTTTATTTCATTAAACATTGTGCCGAAGCCAGGGCGTGTGAACCTTAAACATACAAAGAAACTTTTTCCCAGGGTTTACTTCAACGTTGATTCTTGGTAGAAGGGAAACTGGTTTTCAGGAACTAGTTTTTCCTACCGTGATTGGCTGCCGTATGGATAACTTTTACGCCCTAATGTTCACGTACCGGTACGTGAACTTGATTGTCTGTACGGTACATGTCTGTACAGTACATGTATGCTACATGTATGTAAATGATGAATGTACAAGTGTAGCATCTTGAGAAGTTTTGTGAAATCAAAACTTCAGGGCCCAATTTCATAGCACTGCTTAACAACCAATTTTGCGCTTAACGAGGCTCCACCTATTTCATGGAGCCATTTAAGCAGTAAGCACAGCAAAAGCATGCTTAACCTAAGAGGAGGATTTGCTGAAATCTGTGACGTAACACTGCAAGTCTCCATGCGCGCGCAACTTTAAGCACGTTGTTTCCTTGAAATAGTGCTTAAGCATGGCTATCATTTTCTGCTATAGTTAGCACAGCTTTCGTGCTTACTGTTAAGCAGCGCTATGAAATTGGGCCCCCCCCCCATGGGTGTGGTGATTGTGTAATAGAAATGTCAGGTTCCAGTTGAACAAGTCTGACCTATATATTATTGCAATTTGGCCTCAGCTACCGGTACTTTATGTCTGGAATTTGACCTTAAATGTCTGGGTCACAGTCAACGACCTCCATGTGTGTACATGTACATACTTGGGGAATATGTATGAACTGAAGTTCAGAGGTCAAAACAATGTATTCACATTCTTTGTATATGTGTTGACTTTGCAGTGCCGCCCCGGTAAAATACTTTCTCTGAGTTGTGTGAAATAAGTACGGAAGCTTTGTTGACTTTTACTAGCCGTCTCCAGCACGCCCACTCTAGAGTGGGCAACGCTACATGTACTTTAGCTGAGTTGACTTTCTTTATGACATGGGCTCTATGCGCGAGAATGTTCATGTGTACCCCGAACAGTAAGAAAGGGGGAGTTTGGGGAGACCACTGGGAGAGACAATCGAACGAACGGTGTATTCCGTCCACTTGGGCTCTCGAAAGTGGTAAACAAGTGCGCACTCTTGCACTTTCAAACAAGATACAGTAGAAGTTGTTTACATTTTTGGGAAGATATACAACTGTACGTATATATGTACATAATGTACCGGTAGGTGGTATGGTCCTCGAATACAGTTGTGTAGCACTGGCAATAAACAAAACGTGTAAACCTGAACCATGTCACGCACAGGACATCAGTAGCAGAACTTTGGAATTGTAAACATTTCCTATCTGTTGGCACAGGAATGTACTGTTGTGGGAAGTAAGCACGTCTATACATGTACCAGTATATCAATATTAATTGATTGTTTGATATTATTTTGATATCGATATCGCCAATAGCAATTTCAATTCATGTACATGTACCACTATTCCAGACTCAGGAGTTTCTCATGAAGCTTGGCAAATGCAAAGCATCAACAAAATATTCATAAACTCTAATCCTGATAATTCCTTCAGAATTCACTTGGAGTTCTGCTGGATTTTGCAGTTGATGCATATGCATACACAGAGAAATTTCCAAAACGCAACACATCCATTTGAAAAAAGTGAAAAAAATTCACAGTCTTGAAACTTAGAATAAAACAATATAACAACCATTTCTAATCTTCATTTTTTTGCTTTTCTGTGTTTTCAGATTGTGTTTTTAACTAACAGCCATTAAGACTGACTTTGGGCAACCAGAAGAGATTGAGATTTTTAAAGGTAGAGTAGATCATTTGCTGCTCTCCAAAAAGTACATGTAACTGACCAAATTATTGTTGAAAGGCTTACTTGGTTTAATAATCCTAATGTACCTGATTCCATCAAAATCCACACACCTGTTTTGGAGTATTTCGGCAGATTCAGGATACCTGTACCTCCATATTGTAAACTTAGGGGATTCTGTTGGATTCAGAACAGTAAGCCTAGCGATACTGCAGGATATTGATGGATTCAGGATACCGGTATCTCCATATTGAGCAGTTGGGGGACTTTGATGGATTCAGGATCTCAAAAACAGTTTAACTCCTTGGCTATACATGTATGTTTGGTGTGAACGAGGTACACTAGTAAATTCTAATGGACACACTGGTTGATTCTGATGGACTTAGGACACCAAAAAAAATTTCATGACAAAATTGATGGATTTTGGTGGATTCAGGATACTTTCTCGTAGAAATACCCAAGGGGTTACTCCCCGTGAAATTAGTAAAAGAACGCAATTTCCAAAGATGCGTCAAGTGATGCATATTTGGAAATATCCGTTAGTAGTTTGTTTGTTATTCGGCGAATCTGTGAATGGGTGTGCGCAAGCGTTGACGCAACACACACGTGCACACGGTTGCTGTTATTCGTCAGTTCAGCAATCGGCTGAATGAGAACATGTCCTGGATGCTGATTTCGGGCGCAGTTCAAAACATGACTCTGCAACTTTTGAATTGAAATTGAGATCCTACCGGTAAAATATTATTTTCTGGGAATACACAGCATTCACAGAGTAAAACTCCATCAGGTTACATGTAGTTGTTAAGCACCCGTCTTTAGATTTCGAGCACTTTTGTTGGTTCAACTGAAAAAATGCACAAATGACAAATGATCTACATGTTCCTGTACCCTACCTTTAACCCTAATCCCTTGAGTACTTTTACTAGAAAGTATCCTAAATCCACCAAAATCTACCAATTTAGTCATGCAAAAAATGTTGGTGTCCTGAGTCCATAAGAATCCACCAGTGAGTCCATCAGAATCCACCAGTGTAGTACACACATGTATACCCCGCACATACATGTACCAAACATACATGTACATGTACAATGTATAGCCAAGGAGTTACATGTACATGTAAACTGTTGAGATCCTGAATCCATCAAAGTCCCCCAACTGCTCAATACTGTACATTGTACGTTGTATCCTGAATCCATCAAAATCCTGCAGTATCGCTAGGCTTACTGTCCTGAATCCATCAATATCCCTTAACTTTTTCAATGTGGAGGTATCCTGAATCAGCCGAATTCTCCAAAACAGGGGTGTGGATTTTGATGGATTCAGGTACGTTATGGTAAATTGGCGCTTATCGTGTTTTGGAAATTTAAACTCTTAACATAGAGCCCAGAGTGGATACAAGTAATGAAGCACACGGGTTATTTCATAAAATAATTTGGGGTCTAATTTTTTGGTGTACCGGTACCTGTTTACATCTGAAACAAGATTTTGTAAATTCAGGACACATTCTTCATACCTTCTAGTACACATACGTACATGTACCTCCAAGAGTGATTATAAATGTAACCTGCTAAACAAATAAAAAAGTTCAATGTTAGGCCAAAAAAAAAAATAAGTCGGTCTCTGGTCAGCGCGCGTGTCGATTTTAAGCATGCGCGTCGATCTTTTTTTCCCCTAAAATGTTCCGCGGTAGCTCCAACAGCGCCCTCTATTTCCGCACCTCCTCAATTTTTTTTTTACCAAAGAGCACAAGGAATGGGAAATTGCACCAAGGCAAATGATCGAAAGCACCAAGGCAAATTATGGAGGACACCAATGTACATGAGGACACCAAAAAAGCAAAATAGTACCCATCTTGTCTGTACAATCCAAGCTTGAAGAAAAAAAAAAAAAAGCAAAAAAAAAAAAAAAAGCCGCGTGGCTGCGTCAATTCCGGAACTTTGGTCTGACCAGAGACCGAATATTTTTTTTTTTTGGCCTTACATTGATAATGTTACTTGCATGGCAAATTTCACAGATAAGGTGTAACAAGGACACACAGAAAATGACACACTCTTGAACCCCAAATTTATGGAATGACACACACACGTGTACATGTATATTTGTATACTGTACATGTTGTAAATTACTTCATGTAAGTGTACATATTTCTAAGCATTTGGATCGAAGATGAAGGGTTTAAAAATTCCTCGGTTGGATTATCGTTGATACCTAGGCAGTCTTTAATACAAGGAAGTACACGATGTACTGCACATTGTTGCACATGAATGCACATGAATGCTTCACTGCATTAATCATTCAGTATGTTTTTACTGAATGGGAATTTGCCTAGTCATAATTCATACAATAATTATGGTGGAGAAAAGCTAAATGCTTTGTATTTTGGAATACACTTTTCCCCATCATTTTCTGGCTACGTCAATGTGTACGTCAATGTGTATATAAATATAATCTTATTGAAGTATTAATATAAAAAGTTTGAATAAAAATAAATGTGTGAATGAATTTATTTCACTTCACATCCTGTTAGAGTTTTATGGTGTGAGCCACCGGTACATGTATTTTATTGTCAGGATGACGCTGATTACACATATTTTGAAAGCATTTTTTGTGATCAACTTCTCATTTTTACGAAACCGAAACAATGTATGCACAGTTTGTGACAAAATGCAAAACTTCCCAATGCAATTTGCACAATGAAGTTGTGAACATTCCATTTTCAGTTCCATAATGTTTCCAATTGCAGTGGAATCGAAAAGGAAAAACATTGTTTTTTTTGACAATGTCAGTTAAAATACAACTTGTTATGCTTTAATCAAGGGGGATATTTTAAGGCGATGTGTGTAAACACATTGATTGGTACTTGAGTGGCCAGCCAGGCATTTCAGACAGAAATTACATGTACATGTACAGTGTTCTCCAACTTTGAAAATTAAAGGTTGGCGCTGGGGTCGGCGGGGACTCCTGCGAGCGCGGAGCGCGAAGCCCTTACGGCGTGGGGTTCCGGGGCCCGCTGAAGGGCCCCGGGAAAATTTTGGATTCTAGATGCTCTGTGGTGCAATCTGAGGCGATTCTCCAGACCAGTTCCCCCGATTTTTTTAGCATTCAAAAATTTCATTTTCAACCTAAAGCAGACTTCTCTCAGATCAAATGACACCTTTTTGTAATTTTGAAAAACAAAATGGGATACAAATTACGTTTTTTTTAACGCGATTTTATGGGTGGTGCCGGTGCCGTGCGATCGTCATCTTAATTTTCATGTTGCGTTTTGTCGTTGTCATCGTCATTTTCCCCCAAATTTCCCTCTATTTATGGCCTACCTGTATGTTCTTAAATGTCGCCAACTAGTTTGGTAAGTCAAATAAATTACAAGTGGATTTTGTTCTCTTAGGGAACCGGGCCCATACACGATCGCCATTTGGCATGATCGGAACACCATGTGCACGCGTGTTTTGGCCTCGAGCTCGTTTGCCTCGTACAAAAACATCAATGCGTAATATATTGTGTACCGCGCGTGCAAGCACTGAGAAAAAGAAAGTCGGTTGGCTGCACGTAAGATCTGCCGTACGTACTCCTGCTGGTGTGTGTGTGTACTAATAAAGATATATATTTTTGCGGCGGGGTTGTCGCTACTTGAAGTATCGGCACACTCCGGAACTGGGGATTCAGTCGTCAGTGTGTGTACATCTCGCGTAATAGTATAGTACGTACAGTGCATGGGGAATCGCTGGTGTTTGCACGGACAACCCCGATCGGGCTGCGATGACATCAAAATACATTGTTAATGTTTGGAAAAACAACTGAAATCAATTATTTTAGTTGTAAATGTACACTGTAGAGTCAAAAAAATTAAACCTGGCGGCAGGATTTTAAACCTTGGCGGGGACTTCTTAAACTTGGCGGGCGCCGCAGAAAGCATGGCGGGGTGCCAGGTTTGTTCTACATGTTGGAGAACACTGGATGTACATGTAACCTCATCCGTATTTATTTTGTACACTTACAGTGTTAGTAATGGGATAGCGGGATTTCCCTCTATAGTTAGTTTTTGTCAATTTTGCAAGTCAGACCAACTGTTCAAGTTCTACTTGAAGTACATCCGTGACTTACAAAACTATTAGAAAACATCAAGGCTTGATGCCTAACATGTAGCTTTGAAACTGGTCTAGTTGTAGCAGTACAACATGTCAACATTTGTGTGTGTGTGTGATGTTCGTTTTGATTTTGACGAGTAGGACTACAGTTCGTCATCTTCAAATTTGCACTTTCCTGGTGTCTTCTTCCCATGCCTTCATTCAGTGAGAAACATTTTGGAGTACGGTGACTTTTTATGCTGCTACGGTAATACTTGCAGATGGTGTCAGTTAGGGTATTCTTGTATCCAAGTGTATGGAAATATGTATGGATTCTGTGAGATTCATATAATACACAGTCACTTTGATGTTGCTTTCTTGTATAACCTGCAGACTATAACCCTAACTGCCCTGAATTCTCCAAAATCCTTTTTGCAAATTGGATGAATTTGCAGGATTGAGGTTACATGGCCAAAGTGCATTGCTGATTTCGGAGTACGCACTGTGTCAAGGTCTTGGCCAGACCTTGTGTTGTTTATGCTCAGCCGTGCATAAATTTAGTCCTTGATTATACTTGAAATCCTCCGTACTGCTCCAGGATGTCACTGCCTCTGCCTCAGCCTATTGACAGTCATAGCCGGAGGATTTTGCAGGATTCAGGCAGTGGTCACCCCTCCATGGACCGTATTCAAGAAACAACGGAGGAATTTGCAGGATTGAGGCTACATATGCTATTTTTCCATGAGGCCAATTGGAGGATTTTGCAGGATTGAGGCTACATCCTAGCAAAAAGGCCTAGGGAGTTAGGGATAATAAAATAGGTACCTAGTACTTGCACCAGAGTTTTTGTTTAGAGCAGTACATTTACGTGACAATGTACATGTATGTGATCCTGATCCAGAAATTATATTTCGGTACCGGTATTTCTCCCTTTCTCAGCAGATAATGAATCGTCATTTCAGCTATGGATCTGACACCAGTGCATATAAATTGAAGAAGTTTCTCAACACTGACCTCTACTGGACCTATTAGAAGTTGGGCATGCCTCCAGATGGGTGTACTGTGATTAACGTAAGTAACATTTTTGCTCTTTCCAGACCAGTGGGTGTGTATTTGATCCTCGGTTTCCTTAGCATACATACATTGTACGACTGTACGTGGCCTCCAGCAATTCTTCGTCTTTATTGGCAGTAAGATTGGTGCAGTTGCTCTACTCACTGGCTTCCAACTTCACTGACTCTTGTTTGAATCCTACAAGGGACGTTGTGTGCATATTGAGTACCGGTAGTTTGTCCCAACATACGTAAAAGAAGTTACTCGCAATACGGGCGATTCCCAATAATGCGCCTCCAAGAGTTTGCAGCGCGTTGGCCAATCACAATGCGCGAAATCAGTCGACCTTTTCCAAACGGGCGTTGGGTCGACAGATTTTGCGCATTGTGATTGGCCAACGCGTTGCAAACTCTTGGAGGCGCACTATTGGGAATCGCCCGTATTAGAGGCATATACCGGTAGGATCATTTGCTTTTCATGCATTTGGCTCGTTTCCAATAATAACACCACTCAAAATCCTAAGAATGTTCAAAACCTAACATGCTGAAGTTTCAGCTCAGTGGAATTTACTTTTTGAGAAAACGGTGAGAAACCATTCACAACCTTTTGATCAATCACGAAACACGATTTCGTCCAAAGCACTCTGTATTCCAAACATCAGTCAATTGACTGATCGTTGGAAATCACCTACATTTCTTGATTTCTTCTAAATGACAGCAAGCCAGGCGGAATAATTTCACGGGGTGTTTAGTCCCAGTACGATCTTTAATCCATGTACATGCAATATATATAATTGGGTAAGTTACCGGTACTTGTGGGATAAATGCAATGATCCTGCCTTTAAGTGTGCCACTCAGTGTTCACTTTGAAGGGGCCACATTTTAACTTCATTGTCAACCTCCTGCAAAGACTGTCCTGCAGTTACCTGTACATGTACATGGAGGTTATCAAAACCTTCATTGTTTACACGTTTTACCACACAAACATAAATGCTAAATTTGCCACTTTACCCTCTGACACAACTCAACTATATGTAAATGGCCAACAAATACGACACACCCTATGGTGGCCCTGAATGGACATCAACTTCATCAGTTACTGCTGAAATAATGAGGACATCACAAGAAAAGCCGTGGTTTTTCTGTGTGTCGTGTGGACAAGACGCACAGAAAAAACATGGTGTTTTAAAAACATTCACCACATGTCATGAACAAAATGCGTGGTATTTTGAAAGAATGGATACGTGTGATGTCCTGTCAGAGCCACCATACTGTCATTAGTTTACAGGAGATGCCAGAGACAAGATGTTGCTCAAGACATTAAAAACAAATCCCTGGATCAAATGTAACTGTCAAAGCGTACCGACCTTGGCATGGCTACCTATGAGTTTGCTGCGTCATCCCCATCTACACGCAGATCAAAGGTCAAATAGCTAAGATTCTCAGCAGTAAGCTGAAGATGATGGCGATTTGATTGCTTACTTGTGGGCAATCTCCAGGATAGGAGGAGCAAATGTCATCAGCATCATCGGCTAAACCATCTGCTTTGGAAGAAAAGGGAAAATTAGCCTAATCACATCATTCACAATCAGCTGTTACATATAAAACCCTAACCCTGCTAAATGCAACAGAAACCAACAAAGGTAAAAAAAAGTTGTTGCATACTGGTGCTGTTGCATTTAGTTGGCAACTCAAGTCCCCGTGCTTTGTTGCATCTTGTTGCATTAATAGCAGAGTAACTGCTCATAATGCCAAGGTGATACAACAGAATCCACTGTTGCATTTGGTTGCATTTAGCACGGTACCGGTAGCTGCTTGGTGCCAAGGCTGGCATGCACTGGGTTCACTGCACAATACAACAAAATCCACTGTTGCAATTTGTTGCATTTACATACATAGCAGGGTTCTTATTTCAGCTAAGTTGCATTTTGTTGCATTTGGCAGGGTGCCTAGAGAAAACCTGTTGGGGCTATAGGCTCTGTGCACAAACAGGAGAGGGCACTGTTTACCACCTTTGAGAGCCCTAAGACAGGACACACCACATGTGCGTACTGGATGGTACGCATACATGTAGATGTATAGCACCAAGTACGCACAACTTGTTTTATTCTGAAGGCCATAGTGTCTTCGCGTTAACGTCAGGTGTCATGCGATCAAATGTCAAGCTTGAAGCGGTCTCCCCCAACTCTTACTTTTCTTATCATTGTGAAGGGTTACTTGTGCGCCGAGCCCATATGACGGTGGCTAACATTTAAATTTATGTACTGGACAAGGCTATTGTTCCTTAAGTAAAACTCGCTTGTTTTCTTGGGCTGCCGGAGTGATTTGCAGCTAGCTATGTTAACTGTTAATGGCTTCAAGCTGCTAAAAGGATGGGAACAGTGAACCGTCATTGACAAAATAATTACCGTCGACAAAAGATGGCATCTTACAACAAAGTGCTGCAACTTTACGATTAAAATAACATCACAGTCATGTGTGTTCATGTACATGTACCGGTACATGTGCGTAGTTTTGTTTGTTTCTTTTTTTTTTAATATTCGAACCAGCAAAAAACTATGCAAATATTCAGTTAATGATCAAATATTCGGTCAAACATTGTACACTGTACATGTATTTGGGACAGCCCTACACTAAATCAATGGCTCATTCATTTTTCAACTTTCAGGGGCCATCAAGCCCAATGCAAAATAGTACTTAGGCTCTGCCGGTACCTTTGTAAATCTTTCCCACTTAAAGGGAAGATACAACATTTGCAAACATCAAAAAACGAAATGATCAAATTATCATGAAATATCTTACTGGATTGTTAGGGAATGACAGTCTAAAGCATCCTGTAAAGTTGTGGCTCCTGGTGTGCTGACGTTTTCAAGAAAAACTGTATTTTTCCAACGCTGGTCGGCCGACCAGCGTTGGAGAAAACTGGCCTTTTTCCAAAAAGTGCTCCTTTTATATTTAGTTCGTCTGCATTTTCTTTGCAATTGATTACACACATGTGAAGACTAAAACCCTGCTAGACTGATTCTCTGATCTTACAATTCCCCAAAGTCTATAAATTTGTGTTTATCTTAAGTGGGGTCAGGGAACCAGACTACAATAATATGATTGGTTTCTTGGTTTTTCCACCATCTACGAACCCAAAACGTGAAACAAGTCAGTGTAACAATATTTTCTGTAACATACTGATCCTCCAAATCCATTTATTTCTGAAAAATTGCAGGAAAAGCAAATGTTGTACGGTACATTCCCTTTAAAGGTATAGCCCATCATTTGTAATTTGTGCATTTTGTTCGTTTAAAGCAACAAAAGTGCTTAAAATCTGAAGAAGGGTGCTGACTAACTAACCCGATGAAGTTTCAGCTCAGCTTCAGCTGTATATTTCGAGAAAAACAACATTCTAGGATCTCGATTTCAAATCAAAAGTTGCTGAATCATGTTTTGAATTGGGCCTGAATTCAGCGTCCGAGACACGTTCTCACTAGCTGATTGCAGCTACGCGATGTCGCGCACCGATCCGACGAATTATAGCAACCGCGCGCACTTGTGCGTCGTGTCAACGCTTGCGCGCACTTCGCCGAATAAAAAAAACGAACTATTAACGGAAACTTCCAACGGTGCTTCTTATGACGCACCGTTGGAAAGGCCTTCTTTCATTGATTACTTCGAAATGACAGCCTGCCAGAAAGAATAATTTCACAGGGAGTTTAGTCCCCTTACTATCTTTCAACTAAGTATGTTTTTCAACAATAATTATGCCAGTTACTTTTTGGATAGCTGCAAATGATGGACTCTGGCTTTAAAACATTTTGGCAGATGTGAAAAATGTTAACCCTAGATAAGAAGTTAAGGGTTAAAATTGCGAGAGTACATTAATTGTCAGTGTCAGGAACATACAGTCCCGGTACATGTTGTAAAAGCAAACTGTACTACATTGTATGTTTATGTTGATCTGTTTTTCACATTGGCCAGGGTACAAAGCGGATTTCCTGTTCACACATGTTATTTCATCGTTTCACACAATGCTCATGTTACAATGCAAACATTTGTCAGGGCAGAAACATTTGGTAAAGCCCCTTGGTGTGAAATTTTCTCCTGCAGACAAATACATGTACAATAACATGTAAATACAGTTCATGATTTCCATGAAATAAGGTGTGCCCTCTTACAAAATGAAACGCAAAATTTAGACAGTTTGGTTACAGTACATACACGTGTATGTACTCATGAATGTACATTGTAATTGGCGCATTCTATTTTAAGAACTTTGCAGGAAATTGCTCACATTGTACGCATCTTAACATTCATTGTAAGTTGTACATAAATGTGCACAGATTTCATTTTGTTGATGAGGACCAGTTCATCTTGTTCCCTGATTTGGGGGACTGCACGTGAGATGTGAAGCAGTTTAGGTGATTTGAGGATCAAAAATGATGTGGGGGTCCACACAGTAATGTCCCAAACGTGTGTCAAAATTTTTCTAACAAAAGGAATGTAATTCCCACAATGTGTTACCAGCTAAGGCAATATTTATATTTAACTGCTTATTATTGACTCCTAACTGCTTATTATTGACTCCTAACTGCTTATTATTGACTCCTAACTAAAGTCAGACACGAAGCTCTGCCACATTAATTTTACACCGTCCGGGGTCGAATGAAGCTTAAAACACATTGCATTTTGACTTCGGTCCCTCAGACGTGCTGCGTGCACATGAATAATTCATATTGGACACTGATTATTTTTTCGCTCTTAGAATGTTATGTGCAAGAGTAACCTTATCCAGTCTATTAAGGTGATTCCCAGGCAAGCACCAATCCAGCATCTAAGGTGTACAACTCTTAGCCTTGTGCAATTCAATTATAATGCTAACACCCCCCCTCCCCAAGTTTCCATCCCTCTAATCATATTGTGCAAGGTAAACAAATTGCTGACCAGTAATTGCATGCAATCTACATACATACATGTACGTGTACAGTATGCATCTTCAGCTTGGATGGACTAGTGTATTTGACAATTAAATTGTGATATACCGTATCAGTACATGGCATTGCATTTATAATTTACAACATACTAATTCGGCGACAGCCATTTTCTGAGGTGCCACTGCGGTGGCACCAGGCTCACGCGAGTCGCGCTTAGTTACATGTGGTACGCATGCACAGTTTCGGGGCTCCTTCCACCAACAGTGTTACCAAAATGCGTGTACGCCTCATCTTAAAGAACGCGTGCAGCGTGGGCGAGCGTGGCACTACCTCAAAAATGGCTTCTAATTTTGTTCGCTGGATATACATGTATATCATAAAAAAAGCCAAAGTTAGCCCCCCCCCCCCAAAAAAAAACCCCTAATAATTTTCACCTAAAACAACTGCTGCAGGATTATTTTTATTTAGTTGCCAGTACATGTATAGTTTTCAAGACGGACATTATGGGAAATTATTCCTTCTCTTGCAATGCAAATTTGCATAGGGGCCTACATCTATCCAAGTACGGTAATTTGAAGAAAAAATCACGGCAACAAGATTTTTGAAAATTGAGCCAACCTGATTCATTAATTAAATCCCTCCTTTTGTTTGATCAGTCACAGACAGTCGAACAATTCAATCCTGTTCCCCCGCCAGGCCTTTTACAATGTACACAGGCTAGTCAACAACAGTCAGATCATATTCCTTGTAGGCTCTGTGACAATCAAATTCCATCAACAGACAAAAAGCAGGTGACTGGTAGGCACAGCTGGCTTATCAATCTCCTACAGTCAAAGATACATGCAGCTATATCAGGTTTCATAATAATCACAGCCAGTCAATCCTGCTTTATGAAGGCAGGGAGCACTCAACTGTTAAAAACAGTCATTTGAGATACCGGGTATTTTGACTGCTGGGCAGGCCTTGTTGAAATTGACAGCCAGAGAGGGAGGGTTTGTGATTTTAGTGTAAATTTAGTTTAGTCATTGATCAAACACAAGCCGTTAAATAGACACAGTTCTACACAAACACAAGTCGAGACAATTGCATCAAAATGGCATTTGAGAATTTACCTGCCATTATTTCCAATAACCCTTTGAGCTCTCTGTGTCAACCAATTATCAGTCCGACAGGAAAAAAACTGATTTTGCAATTTCCAATTTCTATCCAATTTCCTGGTCGAATGACTTTCACTTAGATTGACTCCACATGGTAAACATCAAAAAAGAAAAACATTTGCCCTGGACGTTTTCATGGAATCCAGCGCCGTTAAACTGTCGCCGATATCCGTTTGTCATTTGTTGACTTGATGAGGGCAGTGCCTGACATCATAAACCCTTGCTGTACTTTCAGCACTCTGAAGCTGCAAAGGATTGAGAAAATATCCTCTCCGGAAAATTTTGAGGAAATTAGCTTCAGCAGTGAATTCTTGAGCAAGGTTTTCTTGTTCTACAGAATATCTTATTCAGAAGACAGGGCAAGCCTATCATGTGGTATGTAGCTGGTCCTAGAGTCCACAAAAGTCTTGTGTTTACAAGTTGACCTCAAAACCTGAATTTTTTTTACAAAATACAGCACATCTGGGCACCATGTACATGTACACGTATAGCATCTACATTTTGTACAACGTGTGTAACGCCCTATTGTTTGTGCATTTATTTTGTGCCCTGACCGGGCCCATCCAATCAAGGCCAGAAAATGGGTATTTCAAAAGAAAAAAAAGCATTACAATTTACAAACATTGAAAATATTGTGAATTGATGACTATTATATAAAAAAAAACTGGTTGACCTCAACTTCTGGGCCCAATTTCGTGGCTCTGCTTACCGTTAGCGAAAAATCATGGCTTAAAATTTCATGCTTACGGTAAGTGTATTTTATGGGTTAGCAAGGAATTTTGGCTTCTGCGCATGTGTAGGCCCCCACGTCCCGTAACTAAGGATTCTGTGCTTACATGGTTAGCACAGAATTTTTCCGTTTGCGCAGTTAGCACAAAATGGTTATCGTAAGCACGGAATTCTGTGGTGAGCAGCACCATGAAATTGGGCCCTGTTCAATCAGTCACACAGAAAACAATTGGGTATACAAACTCAAACATGGAAGTCTGGTACCAAGACATTCACAGAAAAAGTGAACGTGGACTGGCGAGACTTCCACGCTCTATTCACTGGAAGTTCATTCTTGCATCTACATGTATGTGCACATTTGGCCAGATTTAGCTTGTTGATCAATTGGCACTTTGGGGTAATCCTATACAATAGCACTGCCCGGCTCACCAAAAAAAATGTTCTTGTGTACTAGACCCCTATACATGTATTACATGGTATTACTGGAAGTTTGTTCTGGCATCTGGGCCAGATTTAACTAGATTGATTGGCACTATGGGGTAATCCTATACAATAGCACTGCCTGGCTCACAAAAAATTGTTCTTGTGTGTACTACACCCCTACATACTGGTATTTCAAGTGCAATATATTCATGTGCATACTGCAGTGTACACGTACAAACAGCCTTTCTATTGCCATGACATTCCTCACTAAATTACTATTTACCGACCATAATTATTTAGTGACTGACTGAGACAGAGGTGCCTGCAGTTTGAGTCTTTATCCCATCAACTCTGCTCATGTGTGTAATCTAGGCCGCAGTTTATGTTTCTATTGATAGCACTCCAATAGTCCTAATGTGATTTACAGTGCCGTCATTACATTAATGTTCATATTTTTCACTATCTACCTGGTAGGGCCCAAGGCCATCGATCCGCAGAGCCCAGTTTGCCCTGCTGGAAGTTTTATTTTGATGAAGTTATTTATTCAAAGGTTATATCACATTGTGACCTTTGTTTGTCTGCATGCCCTGCAGGATGTACCGGTTAGTCTCATCCGTAAAAGGTCAAATTATAAATAGATGTTTTCTACTTGTATACTTTTGATATAGTTTCATCTCAATTGTGTTCAGGCCTGAATAGTATTCCTATAGGCCTAGTGTACAAAAATTCCAAGTTGCATCTTTTGTTTGCAGACTAGAGAACATCTACACGTATACACTGTATGAACGGTACCGGTACCCTTAGTGTGGCTCGCGTGTACAAACATGTAGGAATAAAGTTAGAGAAATTGCAGGGGCTTGGAGTTTAGTTTTTGTCAACTTGTCAAAAACTATCAATCAGGCACTCGGGATATACAGTGTACACTTTACAGTATAGCCTAATTCTCTACCTTTTTGCCCTCTTATTTGAAACTTTTGGTCTCTCAGTCCCCGACTAGTAGAAAGAGATGGCATGTGATGTGTGTATTTGGCAAAAAAAAACCTTTTCCCAATTCATTGTTCTAACTTTCTAATAAAAAACACACCTTTACGTCTCTCACGTTAAACTAATCCATTTCTCTCTACATTATAAAGACCACAAGACTCGCCAACAGAGGGCGCTGTAACAGTTTACCATTGGGCTTGCTCTTTCTGCAAGAGTAGTTCATCCGTGCCATCACTCAGTGAATTGACTTCCATCTGGTTGGAATTCCTTGTGCAGACTGTACAGACAGAATGTGTGTACATGTACATTGTACTGGAATCATTTAGACAATTAATCATACAGAAAGTTACTTACCGGTACCCTTGGGACATCGGTGCAAATATTAATTAAAAGTACAGCCAGGTCATTCTATAAATTTAGGTTCCAAAGTAGGATATTTTTCCTGTCCCAGTTTGTAATTTACCATTCAAGTGCATACATGTATCATTAAGAATGACTTCAAACGATTTTTTATTTGTTGGGTAAGAAGGCCTACATGTACAGTTTGCTTTTCATATTCAGTCTTTGATGACTGCATTAAATCAACGTGTGAAATCAAATTTGACAAGTTAAATACCGGTATGCGTATTTATACAAAATTCTGTCATTCTTTAGAACCAGGACTTTTCACATCCAAAGATAGATTCATGAGGTCTCACAGAACTCGGGCTGGTTCATGCTGGTCTGTCTGGACATCATGGTAATGTGATTGTGAAACATTCGTCCTTGCAAAATTCACCGGAGTTGAAATGACTTCAACATTTTGCAAATTGGCAGCAGGAATACTGGTTCACCAAACTCTTGCTTGCAGCTGCGTTTTGGCAGAGTGTGAACCGGCCTATATTCTGCATCTGTTAAAAAATACCCATGGCTGTACAAGTTCAATGCCAGTACAATTGAATTTAACGTTAAAGGGAAAATACAACATTTGCAAACATCAAAAAATAAAACTACCAAATCATTTTGAAATACCTTGCTGGACTGTTACTGTTAGTGAATGACAGTGTAAAGCATCCTGTAAAATCATGGCACCTGGTATACTGTCATTTTCAAGAAAAGTGGTATTTTTGTATGAATTTCCAACGCTGATCGGCCGATCAGCGTTGGAAACAACTGGCTTTTTTTCAAATACTGGCCCCAATTAACCATCGCACTTGTTTGCAATCGATTACAAACCTATGAACGGGTACGAGCCAGCTAGACTGGTTCCCTGACCTTACAATTCCCCAATGTACCGGTATGTAAACTGCTCTGTTTCTTCTTATATGGAGTCAGGGAACCAGACTACAGAAAAATGATTGTTTTTCTTGGTTTTTATAGCATTTTCGAACCCAAAACCTCAAAAAAGTCAGTGTAACTATATTTGCTATACATGTATATTTCCAACCCCCCAATTCCATTCATTTCTGAAAATTACAGCAAAAGCAAATGATGTATATATTCCCTTTAACGTTAAGCCTTTTCAGAGAACACACTGGCTGGCTTGAGAGTTCATCAGAGGTGACCCCACATCCACATTTCATCACGTTATTACATGTACATCCAACTCACTGTTTGCATAGAAATCACTTTTCAACTCCTGTGGCACACGAATGACCTAAAACAAACACAGTGTGTCCAAAGAAATCTTCATCTGGGTAACAACTTAACATCCCATCTGAAAAAGGATCCCAATCCAAACACATGCGCGTCCCTGAGCCCCTTTATTGATAGTTTTGGCATTCCCAGGTTCATGTAAACAGCCCAGGGATATATCCTTAGGTCCAGGACAGACAGTGCCAGGCAAGAATTCAGTGGCTAACGCACCTGTTCACAGATGACAATGTCCCCATGACAGGTGCAGCGTACTCCTCCCCTTCCCTCAAAGTTTTTTTTGTTATGAATTAGAAGCACAGAATGACCACGAGAAAATGATAGTTGGGAGGTCACTCTGTAACCATTAGGGAAAAGTGGTGTCCTCCCAAGAGTTCTAATGATACCTTGGGTTTTTTCGGACATACCATGGATGAGTTTTGATGTGGGATGGGGGGGGGGGGGGATTTTAACCGGTCTAAGGCCACAGGGGCATTCAGTCTCTTAAGTTAAGTACCATGCTAATGGTGGTCCCCCTTTGTCAAAATAATTGTGACCATTTACTAAGTGATGAAATCTCTAATCTAGAATAGGATCCTGTAGCCTCCAAAGTATGGTGGCGGGTTTACATGTAATTTTCAACTAATTTTTGCTTAATTCGTTCCCGGGAGATACCGGTACACTGTACCCAGTACATGTAATTAGTCCCTTGCAAGTTGCATACAGTGTACCAGGTACCATGGCCTTGCCAGGTGCATACATTAATGTACTTGCACACTTGTAGACACTTACTAAAGTTGTCTAGCGCCCTCTTTTGTTTGACTAGTCTTCCAGGCACCTAGTGCTGATCTTGGCAATTCTCACACAGATTGTTCCCTTGAAGCCTCTGATACCTTTTCCTCACCATACACTACATGTACATGTATATGGTTATCAGATCATCTACATTTTGTAATTTCATACTTAAATTAAGAAAAACAGCTTAGTGTAAATTTATCTTACTTTGCATCTATATAAATATGTTCACATACAAAAATCCCTGTTCTTGTGAAATAAAATGTATAGACATTGATGTGAATAATTTGATTTTCCTCGCAAACCATTCAAAATCCACCAGATGAGATTGGAAGACTTTGAAAGATTGAAAAGAAGAACTCGGCCATTTATTACTGTACCAGTACATGGGGAGTGCTGGAAAGTTTAAAGAAACTATTGAAAGTTACAATGTACCGGTACTGTTTTACACGTTTGTTAAAGTATTGCCATTGGTTTCCTGCACAGTGCAGTATTTTGAAGGGGTTCAGGGGGGCTACTAGCAAAAATGCTTGGGGAGTTACTGGTACGGTAGGGTTAAGAAAGTTAACTGTTTACTTCTACAGAATTTTTATTCTTAAAAAGAGACATCGTAAGTTTTTGTTCCAGGTTAGTAGGTACATACATGTACATGTATGGTACCAAGGAAGAGGAGTCATAAAGTGGCCACCCACAACACCCTTGTCCAGTTTCAACAGAGGTCCTATCAGAGTACATAAATGAGGAACTCTCTTGTAAATTCCCCCCAAACACTGTCCAGATTCCCCCCTTCTACTGACAACCTAAGGGTGTTTTCCTATTTATAACACCTACAAGCAATAATGTCTGTACCCATAAGCTCTGTCACAAATCACAAGCCCTGTATGCTTTATGTATACCTTTTTTCCACACTACCCAGGCTTGTCCACACATTTGTACCTGTAGTAGTGACAAGGCTGCCATGGTTTTTGTCACAGGGTGGGCGTCATTTAGTTTGGCAGGAGGATTTGCTTTGTGTAAGCCAGTTCATCGGTCCTTTATTGACTAATTGATACATGTACCAGTAGCCAATTTTACAGGGGAGTGAGGTTGGTTCTTTCCGCGCCTTCCACCGCTATGGTCCAGGTTCAATTCCTGCCCTGGCCATGCCTGATTCCGTCAGTTTTCCCTCAATCTTCTCTTGGGGTTTTCCTCCCACCTCTAAAACACTAATATTTTCAGTGTCTTCTCTCTGCAAGTTTCTTCAGGCTTGCAAGCGGAAAAAATGTTGCAACCTGGGCCCAATTTCCTAGCGCTGCTTAACAGCCGACTTTGTGCTTACCGAACCTCCATCTATTTCATAGGGACCGTTAAGCAGTAAGCACAGCAAAAGCACGCTTAACCCCAGAAGAAAACTTTGCTTAAATCAGTGACGTAACAATAGAAATCTCCATGCGCGCGCAACCGTTAGCATGAAATAGTGCTTAAGCAGCAGCATGATTTTCTGCTATAGTAAGCACAACTTTTCTGCTTACTGTTAAGCAGTGCTATGAAATTGGGCCCAGATGCTTTATCATCTCAATGAAGGTCAGTCATTGCAAATATGATGATAAGACATGAATCTGGGACTGAGAAACAAATTTCTAATTTTGTTAGGAAATACGAAGAAAATTTTCTTGACTCTCCATAGACTTTGTACACAACTACTGAAGTGGCGTCAGGTTGCAACATTTTTTCCTTGCAAGCTACGGTGCCTAGAGCGCTTTTCAGGAGTCCCTGGTTTGAACCAGAAATACATAATAATAATTAAAAAACAATTTTCATCCCCCCCCCATTTAATATACATGTGTACATGTACCCATGCTCATTTGCAAAGATACTGGTTGTCCTTCCAGCGACCCGACATGATGACGGGACTCCAACAGCAGTCCGTCCGGCAGTTGTCTCATAAAAGGTCGTCGACGAGTTAATGTTTGTCTTTTTTATTGCGCATAATTGGACGAATAGGTTGAAGGCCAGAGCCAGAGGTGCGATGCTCGCATTTCTATTTCTGTGTCATCCAGGTAATGGGGAGGAGCTTAAGTTGGGGGGGGGGGACGCATGGTAAGGCACAGAAGACCTCATCGAAGACCTTATCTTATGGCCTGGTTTCCCCAGTCTAGATCGGCAGTACCGGTATATCGGCAAGGAACGGCAGGGGGTTGGATTTGTGTAACAATTGTGTCTTGCGGCAGGATTGGATTGGATGAGGAATACATGTACATTCTTGATTGCTGTTGGGGTCAGGCGGATTGTCTTACACCGCACTAATTTTATTTTCAGACGCGTTGTTAAAGGGAATATACTGTACAACATATATGCTTTTGCTGTAATTTTCAGAAATGGATGGATTTGGGGGTTAGTGTTTTATAACAAATATTGTTGCACTAACTTGTTTGAAGATTTGTGTTCGTAGATGCTGGAAAAACCAAGAAAAATGATCATGTTCCTTTAGTCTGGTTCCCTGACCCCTCTTAAGATGAAACAGAGCAATTTATAGACTTAGGGGAATTGTAAGGTCAGGGAACCAGTCTAGCTGGCTTGTACCCGTGCATGCATGTACCGGTACATGTATTCGATTGCAAACAAAATGCGGACTAACTAAATATGATAAATTGGGGGGGGGGGGGGGGGCAGTATTTGAAAAAAGAGCCAATTTTTTCCAATGCTGGTCGGCTGACCAGCGTTGTAAATTATACAAAAATACCACTTTTCTTGAAAATGACAGCACACCAGGTGCCATGATTTTATGCTTTAGACTGTCATTCACTTACAGTCCAGTGGGCATTTCATAATAATTTGGTAGTTTTGTTTTTTGATGTTTGCAAATATTGCATATCCCTTTAAAGGGAAAAGGTTGTAGCAATCTGATTTCAACGAGACTTGAAATTTTTGAATAGCATCCCAATGATCACTTTCATAGTCTCTAACTTGGCTTCATGACAGAACGACCAATGTAATATGTTATTCATACCAAAAGTATCGAAATGATGCAGCCATGGACAAGCCTTTGAAAAGGTGGGGAATACACCTACTCTTTTGAACATCTCTCGCAAAATCGCTACCAACTCCACAGAAAATTGGCATTACTTTTCAGATACATGTTTTACTCCAATTCAAACATGTAAACTGTGCAGTGTGTACTATGCCTTGCTGGACTTGAGGCAGATTTTTATTGGGGGAAATCGCATTGGTTATTTTTCTTAAATCACAGTTACAGCCCATCCGTAACTTTTACTATCTGTGGTGCAACAGGCAGTGAAACCCCAAGCCCAACGTTTATGAAGCATCCCGGACAGTTGTAATGTGTGACAGATACGACCCGTGCACAACCTCTATGGAGGGTCCCAGTTTGCTGGTTCGGTAAACCAGTGCAGGCACACCACCTGGATCTCCCATAATTCCTCCAACTGCCCCATCGTTCTTTTTTAACTGCTGATCAGCTGACAGTAAGCGTCTTGGGCGGTTCATTAAATCAAAGTTGACCAAGGCCAAGAAAACTTCCTCAACCCCCCCCCCCAAAGAAAATCCCAAATTCAGCTTGAAGACATGAGCCTTGCTTCAGTGTTTTTATTATCCTACTACAAACATCTGTTTACAGGCGGGCACCGTCTTGAAAAAAAAGGTTACATTTGGACATTTTTTTGGAAAGCTGTCAAGGTGACTGGGTGATTGAGGGTAATTGTTGGCTAAAACTAAGCAAACACCCATTTGTTTGTGTGTCAAATGAGCCAGCTTCCTCATCAGCAAAAACTTTCTCTCTTGATTTGAAATTTCTCGATGTAATTTGAAGTAAGAAAGCTGGTCTGGATTGATTGGCCCTCTCTTCCCCTCCCTCCCCCTCCTGTCCTCATCAAACAAATTTCTTAATCCTCTGTCCAAACATTCACAAGATGGTCTCCATCCTACACCTGTGACAGGGGGATTTTTTCCTCTGTCATTCTTCTGGCATGATTTTTTTTCTCTAAAAATAGGGCTTAAGGTAAATTATGTAAATAAATAAATGTAAAGAAATAAATTAAAAGAAATTTTGGATTTTGCTGATGATTGACCCATAAGTCTTTGTGCTTTATTTTCAGTCCATATTCCTGCAACTCAAATTATCTTAGAAACCGAAATTTGTAAAATAAACTTCAGTAAGTTTAAACCCTTACAGTTCTTCAGACAAAAACTCCAGCTGGTTCCTCCCTAAACTTTGTGACCCCAGTTGTTTTGTCCGATTTGTGACCTTTTGGAGTTGCCTCCAAAAGTGCATCCATATAAAACCTGCCATTATCGGTCCCATTTGGCAACCCCATTCTGACCGTAGATGACCAGATTGGCCATATTTTCACCCTGTATCATTGTTTAAGTCCAGCTGCCAAAATCCTTAACTCTCTTCCAAGTACTGTACCTTCATGGAGTACTTACACGAAAATACTCGGCCTGTGTTTCACTTCCCAACCAAAACTGTGGTGACTCTGACATCTTGAGATTTTGATATTATAAATTTCCCTTGCATACATGTATACCGGTAGATGTAGTGTTCATCTTTGAGTTGTCTTTCGTTTGTTGAATCCCGTAACAACAACTCTTTGAGTATCTGTGTGGAACTCAAGCACATACCTCAAAGATGGCTGCTTTGCAAAAGGTCTATTCTGTACAAATCCTTAGGTTTAATTTATTAACCCTAACCACCCTGAATCCTTCAAAATCCTCTTTGCCAAAGTAGACGAATTTGTAGAATTGAGGTTACATGGCAAAAGTGCCTAAATACTGATTTCGTAGGATGCACTTTGTCAAGGTCTTGGGCCGGACCTTGTGTTGTTTTTGCTCAGCCATGCATAAATATAGGCCTGGATTATGCTTGAAATCCTCGGCACTGCTCCAGGATGTCACTGGCCAAGCCTCAACATATTGACAGTCACCGCCACAGGATTTGCAGGATTCAGGCAGTGGTCACCCCTCCACGGACCTTATTCAAGAAATAATGGAGGAATTTGCAGGATTGAGGCTATACATGTATGCTATTTTTATGAGGCCAATTGGAGGATTTTGCAGGATTGAGGCTACATGTATATCCCAGCTAAAAAAGCCTAGGGAGTTAGGGTTAACATGTGTATAGGCCTACATACCTTAATAACAAAAGTAGTCCTGCTGTCATGTGTTCATGTATGAACCCTCCTGCTATTTAAACAGTCACAGACAGTCAAAATTGCCATCCACTTCCCCCACTATACCGGTCTTTTTAACACAGGCTAGTTACATGTACCAGCAGTCAGATCATATGTCAAGTACATTTGTAAGTACTGTGACCAGTCAAACTCAGTCAACAGACCCTACAAAACAGGCAAGTTGTGGTCACAGCTGGTTTATCAATCAGCCGGAGTCAAAGCATACATACATGTACATGTATGCTCTATCAAGTTACATTTAAACACTCCCAGCCAGTCAATCCTGCTTTATGTAGGCTGGGAATTCTTAACTGTTGAAAACCTTCACTTGTTTTATTTTGACTGAAAGGACTACTTGGCACAGAATGTACCGGTATGTTTGCATCCTATAGGAG